GGAATTCATTAGAAGGGGGGCCGGAAAGAAATAGATTACTCTCTAATCATACAAATAGACATATAAGATAGAATTTATTCCATGTCAAAGTTAATTTATTAGATCGCAGTCCAAACAAACGGTGTCACGAAATGAGGACTAGATCGCAGTCCAAACAATTTCCCTGGATCTAAAATCTTTTTACTTTATTTTTCTGTTCTGTTGTGTATTTTCTTTTTGTATTGTTCTTCTTTCGTTTGTACTTTTTCTTTATATGAATAAAACCCTCTCTTTTCCAAAAAAAAAGTTAATTTATTAGATTTGATCCAATTTTATTCCCCACATATTTATAGTTCCAGTGCACACTATTTTCGCTTATATATTCCGAGCTTAAAACAAAGCCTTATAGATCTGAGCTTTTTCATGTACTTAAAAAAAATCAATGTAGTAAATTTAAGATTACATATTATCAGTAATAATTAATACTATTTTTCAATTTAATGTAATAGAATATCTCAATATAATAAATATTTTAACATATAACTACTCCAATATGATAATAGAACTAGTTCGGTTACTAGTTCAAATTAAGTGTTGTTAGCTAGACTCTTAGGAAATTTTAACTCCAATTCAAGTTAATGCTTCACGCCTATCAAACTTCATCTAAATTTGCTTTAAATGATAGGATGTCATTATCTTGCTCACAACTCTATTTTTCAGTTGAGACATACTTTAATTATCTATAAAAGCTTTACTAATAGTATAAAAAATTCAAAAAAATGGGAGGGGCCATGGCCCCCCTACACTAATGCATAGCTCCGTCCCTGGTTATGTCTGTTTTAATAACATTCTACTCCTTGTGAGTTTGACATTTTCTGGTATTTAGTAATGAAGTCGTTTTGGAATTAATACACTTTATTTTAATTAATAAAATATCTTATTAAATGTTTTGTGTTTAAAGTAAATAAAAAAAAGGCATTATTTTTGTGTCTTGAATCACGAAAAGTATCTTTGGTTAAATCTGTTCCGGTTTTTCCGCTAAGTGACGCGCCGCCCGGGTTGGCTGGTCGGTCCGGGTGGGGCGTTACATAGGATCCAACTTGTCACCTTGTTGGTGCACATACGCTGCACACCCAAACACTCTAAGATTAGACAAATCAAGGGGTTTGTTTGAAAAAACAGATTCAAGGCACTTCCCACCCAAGGGAACAGAAGGAGACCGGTTAATCAAGTAGATAGCAGTGTTAACTGCTTCACCCCAAAATGTTTTAGACAAACCGGCGGTAGCAAGCATACTCCTAACCTTATCTAGAACAGTCCTATTCATCCTCTCAGCTATCCCATTTTGTTGGGGAGTATAAGGCACAATTTTATGCCTTCTAATCCCACAATCAACACACAGTTGGTCCATATCCTTATTGCAAAACTCTAAACCATTATCTGTCCTAAGGGTTTTGACCTTCTTACCAGTTTGATTTTCTACAAGGTTTTTCCACTCCCTAAACTTCACAAAGACATCAGACTTATGCTCAAGGAGACAGACCCACACCTTCCTAGAAAAAGCATCAATGATGGAAAGAAAATATCTCTTACCCCCGTGGGTAGAGACACTAGCAGGACCCCACACATCAGCATGAACATACTCTAACACATAGGTACACTTAGTGGGATTAGGATATGGGGAGGAGGGGAATGTAACCTTATGCTGCTTGCCTAACACACAGGATTCACAAAAAAGGATGGGGGACACAGAATCCTTACCAAAACAACCAGATTTATGCAAAATCTCTAAACCCCTATTACTCATGTGTCCTAATCTATTATGCCACAAAGCTGATTTATCAGAACTAACAACATGAGCATAATCACAGAAAGGCTGAGCATGACACACATACAAGTTATTCACCTTTTTTGCCTTAAACAAAACAAGGGAGTTTTTCAAAACTTTCATACACCCGTTACCCCATTTACCCTCTAACCCACTACCCTCAAAAGCAGCAATAGAAAACAAGCTATGACGCAAATCAGGAACATGCCTCACATTTTTCATAGTAAACACAGTCTCATTATCAAACTTCAAGCATACATCACCCACCCCATGAATTTTGCATTTCTTATTGTGAGCAAGAGACACAAAACCATCATTGCAAGAATCATAAGAAGAAAACAGAGATCTAAAAGGTGTCATATGATAAGTACAACTAGAGTCAATCAACCACTCATTTTCAGTCATGCTACTCAACACAGAATTGGCAGAATCACAAATCATAAAGATTTCTTAATGCAAGTTATTATCATCTACCACATTAACATGTTCAGACTTCTTAGGATGGGGACAATCCTTAATGAAATGACTAGAATTACCACAATTATAACACTCTCTCTTCTTAGACTTACCTCTCTTCTTCCCCGGGTCATTGTTTTTGTTCTTATCATTGTTGCCCTTCTTATGGTTTCTAGATCTACTCTTAGACCTACCCCTCACAAACAACGCTTCACTCGAGTCCCTAGACTGACCATTACTACCCCCAGAGTGTCTAAGGTCTAACTCCTTATTCCTTAATGCATTAACGACTATATCTAACGAGATATCGTCTCTACCATACTTTATGGCAGATTTGACGTCATTGTATGAGTCAGGGATGACATTAAGTAACACTATGGGTGTGTAGTCATCTATGTGTTTATCACCGACTTGCTTAATATTCTGAATAAGCTTGCTAAACACATCTAGGTTCTCATCTATGTCCTTAGACATGTCAAGCCTAAATCTAAAGAACTTCTCAAGCAAAAACAATTTACCAGGCATAGAAGTATTGGTATACGTATTATCTAACTTGTCCCACAAAACCTCTGCAAAATCTATAATACCCACCTTCCTGAGTACTGAATCAGAAAGGTTCAAGTATATAGAGGAACAAGCAGTTTCATTCATTTCATCGCGCTTAGCAGCATCCTCAGAGTCTAAATAGAGACCAGTCACAGCTCTATAGACTTTCTGTGGGATCAACACGCATTTGATTTTCTGTTTCCAGATATCAAAATCTGTCTTTCCGTTAAATGGAAGCATGCCATATTGATTGACAACCATATTAACCGGAAAGCTAGCACAACACGCAAGAGAGTAAATAAAAAATTATCAAGCAAAGAACAGTATGAAGCAACTAGCACGAACAAGCCGAGAAGACCAATGAACACAAAGTTCGGGTACAATCTCCTTGTTCTTTCGTACCGTACGAAGCAACCAGCACGAACACGACGAGAAGACCAATGAACACAAGGCTCGGGTACAATCTCCTTGTTCTTTCGTACAAGCAAGATAAAATTTTTATTTACTCAACAGACAGATAAATGATTAATTATAACCTATAGGGCTATCAATTGTACGAATCAACTAGCACGAACAAGCCGAGAAGACTAATGAGCACAAAGCTCGGGTACAGTCTCCTTGTTCTCTCGTACAAGCACAAATAGGCTAAAATTAAATCAACAAGCAAAGAAACTGGATTTAAAACTAATCCGGACAGAAATATTCCCAACTTCGGACAACAAGTATCCAAACAAATATTCTTAACCGGAGAGTTTATCCACGAATCAATTAACCGAAAAAATCAAAATAAAAAATCCAACACGTGATTAAATTTAAACCGGAAAAAATATTCACAACTTTGGACAACGAGTATCCAAACAAAATATTCTTCACCGGAAAATTAATTCACGATTCAACAAGTAATCACAATTCAAACAAATAAGTAATTGTAAATCAACTTGAAATTAAAACGAATGAACTACGAATAAAAAATCACACAAAGGATTAGTAAACGTACCTGGGGCCGGACACAGCCGACATCCTAGACCACGTAGGTCAGCAGCGGGGGAGCAGGGAAAAAAAATAAATCCGGTGGCACTCCGGTACACCAAGGATGTTAAACGCCAATTTACCTGAGCGGGACCCGAGGTTGGATTACCCGACTTACCTTAGGCAGCGTGGGCTGCTGTAGAGCACGGCGGCAGAATCTGGAAGGCGGCAACGGCGCTCCCTGGGCGGCGGCAGAAGATGGACCGGTGGCAGCAGGCTTCCCTGGACGCGGCAGACTGGACAGCACCTCCCTGGAGCGTCTGGCAGTAGCTGGGCAGCGTTTGGACTCCGGCGACACTCCCTGGACCTCCGGCGACGGCGTACAGCGGCGGCAGACAACGGCGTGGCGGCGGCAGACCTGTCTGTACATTTCACCACCACGGTGTTTGGACTCCGGTGACACTCCCTTTACCTCTCCCGTCTCAACCATTTTCATCCACAAAGGATGAATTTCACCACCACTGTCTCAAGGGGAGAAGAGGGCGACAGCCAGCGAGTTATTTTCCGGCCAACTCACCTAGGGTTCCACGGAGGAGGCTAAGGTTCGAATTTTTGGGAGAAAGGTTTCGGCCAGACCAACCAACCAGCAGAGAAGGAGGGACTTTAAATAGGCAGAGTAAAGGTATCAAAGATGGTAACTTACCTTGCAAAGGAGATACGCTCTTTACTACCCAGGGAAAGGAAAGTATTGCCAGAGAAGAAGAAGCCGATCGATAAGTTCGAATGCGCAGTGCGGAAGTGAGGAAAGAACATGGGCCGGGTGCAAGGCAAAGGGAATTGAGCTTATAGATAATAGTGGGCCAATACCAACATAGATTTACGATCAAATGAGAACAATGCTTAATGTGAGAACACCACATTTACCCCAATGTGACGCACAATGAGGCTCGCACATTGCTCTTTTTTGTATCAGGCATAATATTTACAAAAGTGCTACTATGATTATTTATATTAGCTTGTATTGAGCAAAGTCCAAATGTGCACTAGAAGGGCTCTATCGTGTATCACATTGAATTAAATGTGAGTATTCTCACGCTGTCACGTTAAACATAGTTCTCATTGAAACCGCACTATAAATATTTATAATGAATTAAAAGTATATGTAAATACGATAAAGTAATGTATATGGGCACCCGTGGGCACCCACAACCGGGTGGGGCTGGGATGAGGGAACTTTTTAGACTCTTGATGGAGAAGTATACCTGCCCCAAACCCGCCCCATTGCGTATCTACACCTCTGTACAGCCGTTGGGAGATGAAGCGCAGATATGCCAAGCATGGGTGAAGACCACACTTGCGAACAATTGTGCAGATTCGATCACTTATTATAGGATCATCTCTTAGTTTTGTTCTTCTTCTACAACCTGACTCCATCCCGTTCGTAGGTTTGGTAATACTTAGAACCTTCAAAGTGTCTAGTTGTTTTCCTAACGAGTGGCTGTATTGTTATAACAGGGGTTATTTTGATATTCAAATTAATTTCATTTATTAATGTTTAATTCAGTGGCGGTGATTAGTAATTTTGAGGTTGTTAATAGAATAGAATTACCTTATTTGTAAACTAGACTTGTAGAATCATTCGGTGCTCATCATACCGGGAAATACTCCATCTCTTTGGCGACGTTCTTCAACATGCAGGTATTCCATTTTCTAAGCTCCATCTTCAGTCTTCGCTCTCTAACTTCCAACCTCAAACATAAATTGAGCCTTGTTTTAAATGCTTTCCAGATATGAAAAGGAAATGTAAAAGTTTATTTCATTAACGATTTTTTAGATCTACGGTTAAAACATTCGAAATCTGAAACAAGAGTATACCATAGTTACTTCTTTACTGGAGAGTGTACACTTATTTTTTGTTACCGTTTCTTCAGTCAGATTTGGTGGGAAAGTGGCAAAAGGGTACTGCATTATAATACTCCGTAATAATTAGTATTATTGTAAAAATAATAAAAGTTTTAATACGTAGTACTATACATAATTAGAATTAATAATATTAATAAAAATATTCTATTATTATCATTATGGTTGTTGTTGTAATTATTATTGTTATTACCTTTTTTGGAACCTGAAAATTGAATTATGAAGAAACTGAGAATTTCCATTCGTGTAGCTCACTATTGCCTTACTTTTTCACCTTAGCAGCGGATAATGGATACATAGATGGTATTTTTCTTGCGTTTATTATGTGAGTATATATAGGATGTATTTCATTCTCAAGGTTCTTCATCAATTCTAGTGTCTATTCGGATCATCACTCTGATTTTCAGTATATCTGTATATTTTCAAATCTTGTCTGGCTTTAGTTGCAACATTGTCCCTCTATGAAAGAAGACAAATCAAGCACACACAGTTACACATCATCATGTTTTTTGTGTATGGTTGATCGAGCCTTTTGGCCCTTGTCGCTTATGTATACTTTGGTGAAGGTCCGAAGATGCTTATGAATTTGTGAAGATAAACATAGTTCTGTAATATGTTTCTGACTTTCTGACTATTTTGTCACTAATGCATAGTTGCATGGGTGTAGTTAGACCCCTGAAAATTTAAATTGTGGGTGGGCCTGAAAATAATTTATCTATATGGCTTCATAATAAAATTGTTACACCTAAAAGAGATTTTTACTGAATTTAGGGTGGGCCGGGCGGGGGTGGCCCACCACTAGCTACACCAATGCAGGGTGTAGAAGTGGGATGCATTTACCCGTTGTAAAGATAAGCATCTGACTTGTTATGTTGTGCAGTCAAAGAAAAGGGGTCTTTCCTTAGAGGAGAAGCGAGAGAGAATGCTGCAAATCTTTTATGATTCTCAAGACTTTTTCCTTGTAAGTCATCTTGTTTTATGTGTTTTTGTTATGTTTTTTATGGAGAAGAGGATGTAATTCTCTTGTAAAAGCAATGCTCCCTAATCATTGCAGAATATTTGAAATCACATGATTTGTTGTACTTTAATACTTCAACTTTAAACCACAGTTTTCGTGAATTGTACCAAGAGCAGGAGAAACTAAAATGTATGTCATTTCTTTGGTTCCTCTTACTTTTCCCAACAGTGGGATCAATTTCTTAGGACCTGTTTGTACAGTATGGGATTAGGGTATGATTGATAAGTTGAGTGTTTAAATAGGTAATTGCATAATAGTATAATATCAATCAGCAACCTCATTCTTACTTTGGATTAGGGTAATTGCATATATTAGTATTGTTTTGGTGGGAAGTTTTCAAAATTTGCTCCAAATGCGCATTTAAGAACTTTTTGTATGCATATTTTTACCCAATTGCATAATGTCTACAATATAAATTATATTGCATATACAATAACAACAACATAGCCCCATTGCCGCAAAGGCTTCAACCTACGGTGGGGTAAGGGGGGGTTGGATGTATGCAACCTTACCCTTAGAGAGACTGTTTCCGGATGACCCATGATGAAAATTGCGTCGAAAATTGCATGGACTGGCTGCTGCTTCATAACAAAGAAGTGAAAACAGTTTATTGAGCCATTTTGCTATATTCCATCATATTCCCAAGCAAAAAAATAGTGAGTCTTTGGCTCCATTGGAAATGATGGACTAATATTGCATATACACATATTTATATAACATGCGACTCCGAGTAATACACTTATCTCTGTTTGTATTTGTAATTACAGATGTCATACATATATGTGTATGATTATGTAGGGGTATTTGTCTGTTTCGGTTTTTAATTGAGCAGTTTTAACGACTTCTAGAAGAGGTGAAATTGAGAATCGGACCAGAAAACTTGATTCGTTTTGGTCGATTTGTATCGGTTTCGGCCAATTTTAGCTTGTTTTGGTCTGGTTTTGCCTACCGATTTTGGTTTGGCCGGTTCTTTAACCCAAAAGTATAAACCGTAAACCGAATCACCGACGGATTATTCCATTTCGGTTTTAGTTGGTCGGTTTAGTTCTGATCGGTTTGGTTTGGGTCGGTTTAGTTTTTTCATTTTTTTGTTCACCCCTATGATTATGTGTGTGTGTGGGATTACAATCAACAACTAATCCTACATTTTTGGATTTGTCATGGGCTTGGGCCGACAAAGATAACTAATTCTTCAAAGTAATCATTGGATAGAAAGTATTATATTTCTTTCTATCACCTTTTAGCCTGCAAAGACAGCAAGCCATTAGGATCATCGGTTTGGAACATATAAAATGTTAGGGAAAAAATTGAAGGAAAATAGATGGGAAATTTGGAAGGAAAGAAAATATGCGGGGAAAAAACATTCCCTACACCACATATTAAACTTCCAACCTGCTTTTGGCACATGATTTAAGAAAGTCAAATTGTGTAGTAGAAATATATTTAGAGAATGGAGAAATGATATAAACGTCACACTTCTTTCCTTAAAAAGAGGTGGAAGTTTATTTCAGACAACCCAAACGGAAAGTGAAAAATTTATTCGGTGGCAGAGGGAGTATTTCTCTCAAACTCAATAAATCATTTATTGATATTTGTTCAAACTCATTTTATTTATATATTTCTATACTATAAATACTACTCCCTCCGTCCCATTTATATTGTCCCAATTCCTATTTACTTGGTCAACACAAATCACTTTTAATTTCTTACTTTATATATCAAAAATTTATCAAATGTGATTCAGGTTTTTGCGACTTTGTAAAGTTTTAAATGTAGTTTCTGAATATGTAATATTTTTTTCCTAAAAATAATTTGGGTGCGGACAGGGATCTGTTTGCTTTATCGTCGGTCAAACATCGTAAACCGTAAAGAGACAATATAAATGGGACGGAGGTAGTATGAAATATAAACATTTGTGCCAAAGTTAAAGCATTAAATATACTATAAATACTATGAAATATAAACATTTGTGCCAAAGTTAAAGCATTATACATATTTCATCTTCTTTGCATTCTAGAGGTAAAATCAAACATAACAAAATAACTTTAGTTTTTTTTCCTTTCCCGGCATTTTATGAAGTCCAAACATGACTTTATGGTTTAGGGATAGGAAAATGGATATGACTTAAACCAAGTCATCAACAAATGAACTCACAAGGTACAAGCTAAAAGAGCTCATTGATCCGTCATTAAAAAAGGGCAGCCTGATGCAAGCCTTCCCTTGTCATTTTGACAAGAGGCTGCTCCCAAGACAGACTTGTGCCCGTGACCTCTCAGTCACACAGCAACACCGTAACCGGTGCGCCAAGGCTCCATTTCTCATAGATTCTCTATTTATTAATTAATTAGTTTCTTTATTATTATTATTATCATTATCATTATCATTATCATTATTATTATTCTTATATCATTTATTTATGTATTTTGTCTAGCATGTTTATTGTATCAAATTTTGACAGCATTAAGGCTCTCCAGAAATGAGTGCTCAAGTTTTGTTTCTCCATTAACGTAATCTGTTTTTGTTGAGTAGTATATCTTTGTGCACTCTGTATGCATTTTCAGTTAAAGGAGCTTGAGAAGTCGGGGCCTAAGAAAGGTGTGATTAGCCAGTCGGTAAAAGATGTTGTCCAAAGTTTGGTGGATGATGACCTTGTTTCAAAAGACAAGATAGGGACTTCTGTGAGTAACTTCCTTTATATGTTTTGTTATTGTGACTCTATTATTTTGAGAGTATTTTAAGGTGCTAAGGCAAAAGTCAAATGGGAATTAAATCCAGTCCCATTGTTATGAAGCTATTTGCCCCAATTAATTAGGGGTTATTTGTGCCTGTTTTATGTTTCAGTTTCTTGTGGTTGAAATTATTTATTGTTATCATCTAATTGAGTGTTTCATGTTATGCAAAGTAGTTGAATTCAACTCACTGTTTTGAGCAAAAGATATGTAAATTAATTTCAGGTATATTTTTGGAGCCTTCCTAGCTGTGCAGGGAATCAGGTTGCCAAGCTAAATGTTATCTACAGTACATTGACAGTGTATCTATCTTATGAATATTCAATGCATGATTCCTATTTGACAGTTAAGAAACGTGTATAGAAAGCTTGAGACTGAACTCCAAAGCAGTAAAAAGAGACACTCAGAGCTTCTTGAACACTCTACGAATTTGAAGAAAGGACGTGAGGAATCTGTAAGTTCACTATTCATTTTCATAGCAATCCTCCATTGCAAAACTTTTATTAAGGGCTGACAGGACTCGGGCAGATTAGCACTGATAATAATAATAACAACAATAATAGAAGAGTTAGTATAAATAGATGTTGAGGGTAGAATAGAGAGGAGGCTGGAAATATCATTTGGGCTTGGAACTTTGGAAACTGTTTTGTATTTTCTCTCTCTATTTTCTGTTATAGGAACTACCTCCATTGTTACGCATCTTGATTTCTTCCATAGTTAGCTCTCTCAAATTACTGTAAACTGGTCTATACCTATCATTGGTATCAGAGCAGTCGTTTCTGCGCCTGTCAATGATCGCTAATCAAGAAACGATGGAAAGTCAGCTGCATGGTTCGCAGCGCGAAGGGGAACTTAGTCTCGAAGAGAGGCGGAAGGCATGGGAGAGGAGTAGCGAAGAGATACGGAATGATTTAGCGGAGTTGCACAAGTTGATACTGCAACGGTACGGTCGACGTGAGCGAGGAAGATCGTTGACCATAAAGCACTGTCAGAATTCGAAAAGCAAGAGCAGTTCGCAAACAGTTCTTCAACGTTCGCAGATTTCATCGAGTCCGCAGAATTCGTGGCCACCTGATTCGCTGAGTTCGCAAGCTTCACCTCAAGCGCTCAACGTTTCTACCAGTTCGTTGTGGTTAACTGAGGTTACCGAGCATCATCGATCGCCACTGCAAGTCGATTCTCACCATGCGCAAATCTCAGTGACGACATTGAACTCCAACTATTCTCACCTTGCGCAAGCTATAGACCTCGTAGAATCAGGAAGTGAATCACCTTCGACAACACCGAAGGATGAGTTGCAAACATCTGCACCATCAATTCTGGAGCCGGATCCAGAATATGACATTATTCAAACCACTGAGTTTCCAACAGATAATCTTGAAGATTCAGAAACGCGCAAATCTGATATACTTTACAACAGGAAGGAAGGAAATCGTACTGACCACAATGATCCTGCCTGGGAACTGAACAACAATATCACACGGGCTGATGAGGAAGACCCAGGGACGAATCTAGGATTTCGAGTCAAGGGGGGCGAAAATTTTTCTGCTAGTGTAGCGGGGCGAATTTTTTTCACTAGTATAGGGCTCTACGGCTATTTTTTTTTTAAAAAAAAGTTCCTTTGATACACATACCCGACGATAGCTAAATCTATTAATGTAGGTTTTAAGAATTAATCTTCCTTAATTGTATTGAGCCATACGGCCAGAATATATATACAGAGTACAATAAACAAACTCCCTGTGTAGATCCTAAAAATATGTACACTATCTAATAATAAAGATTAAATGTAACATTTTCTACCCTCCCCTCAAGTTGGTGAATATATATCATACATTCCCAACTTGTTTATAAGTAGTTCAAACACTGGTCTGAACAATCCCTTTGTGAAGATATCAGCTGTTTGTTCTTTAGTAGATATGAATGGTATGCACACAATTCCAGCTTCAATCTTTTCCTTGATAAAGTGTCTGTCCACTTCAATATGTTTAGTACGATCATGTATCACATGATTATGAGCAATACTAATGGCTGCCTTGTGTTATCACAATACAACTTCATAGGTAGATCCATCTGCATATTTAATTCTGAAATCATTCTCTTGATCCAAAGCAGTTCACAAATTCCATTAGCCATAGACCTGTATTCAGATTCTGCACTACTTCTAGCAACTACAATCTGTTTCTTACTTCTCCAAGTCACAAGATTTCCCCATACATAGGTGCAATATCCAGAAGTAGATCTTCTATCAGTAACTCAGCCAACATAGTCTGCATCTGTAAATGCCTCAACAGTTCTACTGTTGCCTTTTTAAAAAATAATCCTTGCCCTGAACAACTTTTCAGATACCTTAGAATCTTGCAAGTAGCATCAAGATGTTCTTGGACTGGATTATGCATAAACTGGCTAACCAAACTAACCGCAAATGCAATATCCGGCCTTGTATGTGCCAAATATATCAATCTTCCCACCAATCTTTTGTATTGTTGAGTATTGACTGGAACTCCCTCTTTGAAATCTCCCAACTCCTGATTAGGGTCAATAGGAGTGTCCGCTGGTTTGCATGCACTCATCCCTGTTTCTTGAAGAAGATCCAAAACATATTTCCTTTGAGATAAAACAATTCCCTCTTTTGATTTGGCTATCTCCATGCCTAGAAAGTATTTCAACTCTCCAAGATCTTTGACCTCAAATTCAGAAGCAAGTTTCTTCTTCAGGCTTTGTGTTTCTTCATAAAAGTCTCCTGCAATGATAATATCATCTACATAGACAATTAATATAGCAATCTCCCCTTTGCTTGAGCATTTTATAAATAGAGTATGATCATATTGGGTCTGTTTATATCTTTGTTTTTTTAACAAACTGTGTGAACCTGTCAAACCAAACCCTTGGGGACTGTTTGAGTCCATACAGTGATTTCTCTAGCTTACATACTTTTGAACCAAACCTGCTTTCAAATCCAGGAGGAGGATTCATGTAAACTTCTTCTTCAAGTTTCCCATTTAAAAAAGCATTCTTCACATCCAACTGTTGAAGAGGCCAGTCCAAATTAGCTGCAAGAGATGGAAGAATTCTGATAGTATTCAACTTTGCAACTGGTGCAAAGGTCTCAATATAGTCTATGCCATAGGTTTGCTTATAACCTTTGGCAACTAATCTTGCATTATACTACGTATCTCTCAAGAGTGCCATCTGCCTTGAACTTAGGAGTGAAAATCCATCTACATCCAACTGTTGGCTTGTGTTTAGGTAGCCCTACAATCTTCCATGTCTGATTCTTTTCAAGAGCATCCATCTCTTCCAGAACCGCTTTCTTCCACTCGGGTTTAGATAAAGCTTCTTGTATGGTTGATGGAATAGAAGTAGAAGAAACAATAGAAGAAAATGTTGCAAATGTAGAGGATAATCTAGAATAGGAAACATGGTTTGAAATAGGATATTTGACACATGACCTTTTCTCTTTTCTGAGAGCAATTGGTAAGTCAAGATTACTGAAATTATTACCTTTTTCATTTTCTGTCAATGAGTCAGATTCACGAGCAGTTGCAGGATCAGAGATGTCCTTTATTCTTTGATTTGGAACTCTCCTTTCATAAATTTTGCCAAAAAATTTACTTGTCTGCATTTCATCTTCCTTCCTTGTTGCAGTTATATTTATTTCATTTTCTTCTATTTCTTGACCATTTCCTGATGCATCTAAGTCTTTAGTATGATGTGCATCTAGATTAATGTCAAGAGATTCAAGATTTTCATGGATATGCAATATACTGTTACCATCTTCACTTGAGTTCTCCCCCTGAAGATGAGTACTAAAAAAGGGTTGATTCTCAACAAAACTAGTGTTCATTGTTACAAACATCTTTATTGTTGTAGGATCAAAACATTTATATCCTCTGTGTGTTGAAGACAGTCCTAAAAAAACACATTTTTTACCTCTAGGATCAAGTTTACTTGCTGAATTGTCAGGGTTGTGAATAAACACTGCGCAACCAAAATTTTTTAAAGGAAGAGAGCTGATAATTCTGGTTTTAGGAAAACAGGCCTGAAGTGTACCAATAATTTTCCATCATTTGCAATGGAGCCAAAGATTCATTATTTTTGGCTTGAGAATATGATGGAATAAAGCAAAGTGACTCACTAAACTGTCTGCGCTTCTTTGTTATGAAGCAGCAGTCAGTCCATGCAATTTTGGACGCGATTTTCACTATGGGTCATCCGGAAACAGTGCTTTAGTACAGGGGTAAGACTGCGTACATCCGACCCCCTTACTTCACCGTAGGTGGGAGCCTTTGCGGCACTGGGGTAAATGAAAATGATGATGATGAGGCCTGAAGTGTACCAATAGGAGTTTTAAATCCTAGAGTTTTTGATGGCATCCTATTAATTAAATTGGTGACATGTAAAACAGCATCTCCCCATAAATATTTTGGAACTTTGGTTGAAAACATGATTCCACGAGTGACTTCAAGTAAATGTCTATTTTTCCTCTCAGCTATTTCATTCTGAGCAGGTGTATTTACGCAAGAACTTTGATGAATAATCCCCTTTTCAGTAAAAAAAATTGTTTAAGTTTTGAGAAAAATACTCTCGGCCATTATCACTTCTTACCATTTTTATATTTATATTGAATTGGGTTTGAACCATTGAGTAAAATTTTCTGAACACATTTTCAACTTCAGATTTCTCTTTAATAAAAAAAACCATGTTACTCGTGTATGATCATCTATAATAGTTACAAATCATCTTTGTCCTTTCAGGGTAGTAACTCTAGATGCACCCGCAGCATCCCAAATATCACTATGCACAAGAGTAAAAGGACTAGTGGGTTTGTAATTATGAGGGATATAAGAACTCTCATGATGTTTTGCAAGTGCACACATATCACAATGAAATGATGATCTTTATTATGAAACAACTGAGGAAACAATCTTTTTAAATAGTAAAAACTAGGATGACCTAGTCTGTAGTGCATAAAATACACTTCGATATTACAAGAAAGAGAAATAGTTCGCAAACAAGCATTTCCTTGACCTTGTTTATTCAATTTAGTTCCTTCATCAAAGATGTAGAGTCCATCTTCCTCTCTAGCACTCCAATCATCTTCCCCGAGGCCATATCCTGAAATATGCAATAAGAGGGGTAAAATTTGACACAACATTGAAGTTCTTTGATTAATTTGCTAACAGAGGCAAGATTATAAGAAAGGTTTGGAACATATAGGACTTTGGAGAGGTTAGTAGATGAGGAAATCGTGACATTTCCCATCCCTGCAATGGCTGAAAAAGAGCCATTTGCAACTTTAACTTTTTATCTCTTGCACAAGGGTTATATGAGGAGTAGAATTTTGAAATAGAGGTCATATGGTCTGTTGCACCTGAGTCAATAACCCATGTATTTTTTGATTTTTTAGAACAGAAATATGATGTGATTTTACCATTTTGGGAAAATGAACAA